AGATTGTAACAGATGACACGAGTCATTCTTAAAACGGAGCATCAGCTGCAGGTTCCGTCATGCGAGATACGTCAAACTATAAACATTCCCTTTTTTACAGGTCATGCGACAACGAAAGTTAGAACTTGAAACGTATCGCGCGAGCTATGTAGTTATAAACTCAACCTTCTTTTTTAATGCGTGGTAATTCATAGCTATATTGGTGTTAGTCATAATTAGTTGTCTTAATTAGTAGCCCTGAGATTCTTCCATGATAGACAAGAAAAATGTGTTAGATATATTAATTATTCTTCTCATGAAGCTTTAGGTATCTTTAGCTTTGCCACCAAATACATTTCGCGCAATATTCACGTTTGGCACTAAGTGCTGCCCATTAACGTAAAGGAGCCAATAAATATTTACAAAAATGTACAAAATTATCGACTTACTAGGGTAAGGCAAGAGAGCTTTTTTGAATCCTTGATATACCTGCTTGTAAACATCTTCTGGAAGATTTAATACTGCAAAGGGAAGCAAATGTTATAATTCTGACAATGAGGTTTTTCAAAGATACTCGAAAAAAATGTCGGAGAAACTTACATATCATTACTGAGGCCACTAAAGTTTCGAATTCTCAAGTCGCAAATAATCTACTCCCATGTGTCTCAGCAATTTGCATCATTTTGCAGTGCTTTCAGGTACTTAAGACTCCTGAAAAAGAATAGGTGATCATGAATTTACTATTGAAAAGTTATTACAAATGTATGAGCAATAATAAATTGTTATACCAGTGATTAAACTCAAATAGTTATCTAGTTAAGCAGATACAATACGACGAACAAATATTAATTTAAAGTCACAACAACGAAATTCCAATAATATTTGCGTTAAGGAAATTATGCTTTAGTTCTCGTTTCATCAACAGCTGGTGCCAGTAGCTTAACTCCCGTCCAGTCTTAACGAATGGCTATATCTTATCTCGTTCTTTTGCAGATGAGGATGATAGTTCTGTTAAAACCATCAAAACTAGTCCTGTGAAAATTTGAAAATATAACGCTGATTTTTTTTTGTTTGACTCCCAAATTAAAGTTTAGTTTTCTACTCGGCCATTCGTATAATAAACATATGACTAGATATTAAATTCAGAGTCATTCGTGCAAATAAATATTGGATTCTTCCGAAACAGATGGAGCCTTTCAAAAGCAGTCGTGACAAATTTACATCAGTAGTTAAGGGAAAAGAAATTACCTTTTGCTAGAAATTACATTACTTGTTAGCAAACATGGAAAACACTGCACTGTGTTAAATTAGCAAACATGGAAAACACTGCACTGTGTTAAGAAAGCTATTAATGATTTGTTAGACAAAAAATCATAAAACTAAATTTAAAAGAGTAAGATTATTCTCTAGATCCCCATTCATCCTAATAGCAAGGATGATAATTTTAAATCCAAGTTTAACAATTGACTAAATGGTTTGTTTTATTTGATCATGACAAAGCACGTTAAAGCTATCTGCTCTGTGAGCTATAATTAGGTTACGAATGTTACCAAAAAGCTTACAGAATTCTGTATTCCAAAATTTTAATCTGAATTTGGTTAGGAAAATCGAACCTTGCCTTCATTTGAAAAGACTAATCTCGCTTTTTTATGTGAAGAGATTTTCTTATTGCAAGATGCGATTAGATACTTGCAGGAAATCACTCAGAATTGATTTCAGTTTATTAATTTACCGTTTCAGTATACTAGCGCTATTTGCAGAAAGGAAGATTTTACCTTTTTCTAAAGCCTTTTGAAGGTAACTGGCACACATGCCGTTGGTGGTGTAAAAAACAAACGCCAAGCACTCCTTCCTGGATTTGAAGTCAATAAAATGATTTCAGCTGTCTTACCCGATTAATGTGTTCGATGCAGTTTCAGGAAGTCCAGGTTGTGATAGGTGCGGGTACGGACGACAAATGAGCCCAGGGTGCCCTGCATTCACCTGTCACCTGTCTTACCCGCAACATCGTTTGTGAATCAACTAGATTCTACTGCTCTCGTTTGGTTTATTCAACTAATAGAAGCACTCGCGGAAACAGCGCGAAAGAAACTTATGAAGTTTAAAACTTTTTTCAGAAAGTTCGTTCTTGCAAAGCCTCGTGGAAGACTTTCCAGCAAACTGGCTGGTACGAATGGGGAACATTACAAATGGGGAAAACATGAAAACTCCCATGCAGCCAGTTCTATCGGCTATAATCAAATACATGTAGAAGTACCAATGCTCGGTTATTTTACCGATCGGACTGTTGGCAGTCTCATGTTCTAGTGAAATTCACTTGGGAACAAAATACAACTCGCATCTTCAAATTCTGATATTAAAATTCTAAATTTTTAATTTAGTATTAGCAGGCATTCAACCGACTAATAATATTATGCTCATTATAAAAATTCTGATAAAAGTTCACTTACTCTAACAGATAGTTTGCAACGTTAGTAGTCATGCCATAGGTCTCGATTTTCTGCCAACTGCAAAAAATAAACATTACCTGATACAAGAAAATTTACACTGTTCTAATAAAGCAAATTAGAAAAACAAATCTACATTGTGATTAGAACGAAATTTTTGGAAAGGCTAAATTTTCCAATTAACGCTACCTAAATACTTTATTCACAGCACAGTTTCTGCGAAAGATATACGTACAAGCAGTCAAAATATTGCATTTTTGCAAAACGTAACGACTTTCTGAAAATCAAAGCACTGTATTTCTTTATACTGATCAATTCAAGTAAACACATTTCGCATTCATATAAAATAAAGGAAGTAAATAATTGTCACGAAAAATCTGCGCTCATTAGATTAAAACGTATTAAAATGCACAGGTTGTATTTACATGTGGTCAAGCACATATGTTTGTCTAAAAAGAACATGTCTTCATAGAACACTTTCTAAGACAAACTGCCTGGTATTCATGTGATATATACATGAGGAAACATGAAGACCAACGACGCACCCAGCATATCTCTGGCCTCGAACCCTTAGTATTCAACGGTTTTAACCACTTCGCCAGTTACTGGGACCTAAATGTTTAGCAGTTAATAGTTTGTAGAATATTATTTTGGGTTATTCGCTTTTGAATTGAGCTTACTAGTTTTGCTTATTCTATTTTTTCTTTCGCAAATCTTTAATATTTTCTTTGCAATTCTATCATGTATTTGCTCTATGAGGCCAGCAAAGCCTACAAGTGCTCTATTGAATTCAAACGTAGCTACTAGCACGCGGGTGTTTTACCTCATTATATATTAGCCACAGGAGAATTACTTTAGCAGAGTGCTGAAGGTCGTTATAGTGTTAGTAATAATCTTGAATTCCCAAAATACTTTAAATTTCCAGTTAAAATGTTTAATTATTTCGTCATGGTTTATGGCATACCTCCTTGTTCGTATACAGAACATTACACGTATAGACGACGTCCTAATGATTCTTATCTTAATAACCACTGAAAGTTTGAATTCACCATGCAAAAATCCAAAAGAGATCAGTGTGCTTTAATATTCCTTAGTGCTGAAAAAGGATGTCAAGCAAATGAAGGATATACATTGTGGGATGAAAATGCATGGCCAATAGAAGTCATCCTCTCTTTGAAGTTAGGTTCTGGCAACCTATTGTTCTACGTAACGTGGACGGCAACAACAAATGAGTCTCCGAAACGATTGATGGCAATTTCTGGCAGAAAACCTTGCGAGATTGTCTGCACCAAACAAAGGGTAAAATCAATGAATACAAAAAGTATTGCAACAACTGCTTTTATTAGATCATTACATTACCATTCATCGAGCAGTAAATCCAGAGGTAAATGATTATTCAGTTTGAGTTGATGTTAAAAGTTTCATATGGAAAATTACCATGCATTTTAAAAACAGTGATGGAACGGACAGCGTTTGCATCTCTGAGCGTCTAGATTACCGGAATAGTTACATCTTTGAATTTCTGAAGATGGCGATGAAACATCGAAAGCGACCAGGAGCGCAGCTTAACACTCCGCCTCTGAATATGAAGCAACATGTTACAATAATTGCTTCCTACAAAGATAAATGCATACAGAAACTCGCAAATTATCTCCAACGGAAAACTAAGTATATCTTACAATGCTCTACCTAAAAGCCATATGCTGGAACGATATACTTCTGAATTCTTTGGAATTTAAAAACACACTTTCAAGCATTGTCGCTTACGACATTTTCTATTAAATTTACAAATACAAGCCAAACATTTCCGTCACTGTGTGAGCGCAAAATTTCTACTCATTTTATTTTTTTGAAAATTTGTTAAGAGCAATGCATTTTAACCATTTTAACTGAACTAATTAAGAAACATTAGGAAATTTAATATTTTCTTAGGATAAGTTAATATGCCAGTTTCCTAGGAAATCCGATGCATTTTTGAATGACATACTAAAACCTTATATGTTAATTTATTAGGAAGCTCTTTATTGCTAAGTGCATAAAAAGAGAAAAACGGCTCGTAATATCACCTATTAGACGAAATTCTCGAGAATTGCCTGTAGCTGTTCAATTAAAGAATTTGGGCTAAATCAGGGCATCGGTCATAATGGTGGTCGGTGTAACTGGGAATTTTGAATTGTGCCCTTGTAACCAAGAGAAACTGATCTTAAGCATCCAAGTAGTTTACGAATTATAGCTTTTAATTAAGGCAAGTTGTATAAGCTTTATTTCACGCATTTCATCAAATTATTAAAATATTACTTCAATATTCATTTTTATTCCACATATAATCTAGCATTTGATACTTTTACACAACAAGAATATAGTTTACACAGAGGAATATTTTCATCGAAACATGTACTGGAGATATCTCAGTGGTAGAGTTTCCCTGAAATGCAATTTAGATGCGTTTTACGTCCACATGCAGTTTCAAACATTGAAAAACTTTTACAGTTAATACCATTTCATTATTCTGCTGGGATATACAGCTATTAAAAACTTAAATAGCGTATTGAAATGATTATTCTTACCTTTCTTCAGTCAGTCCTTTCTCTGTAAGCCATAATGAAATTACGTTTTGATGACATGCTGAAGAACGGCAAATATACTAAAATTGGAGAGAAACAATTAGTTGATTGCTTCAAAGCACACAAAGGCTGTAACACTCACGGAAAAATAAATCTTCCCTGAAAGAGTTTCGAATCAGGATGTTGAACCATGAAAGCACAGTAAATTCTTAAATTAACGCCTTTTTACAAATTTACCGTCTTTATTGCCTTTTTACAAAATTTTAAATGATATTAAAATGTTTATGCCTTCAAAATAAAAAATTCTTAGAATAACATTTGTTAACATCTTTTATTTATGTATATTGTATGTTGTCGCCAACAAAATCTGCTTGGCGAGATTTGCACCGGTGAAAAAGTACCGTTTATTTTTTTCTTACATTCCATTCAGTGATATTTGTATTTCTACATTTGGATAGTCAAAATTTTCACTATCAACTTTTAAGTTTTTAAATTCTAAAGATACGTTAATATTCTCACGAAATTTTATTAGTTTGGAATGAATCAGGTACTTAAAAAAAGGTAATTTAAGTACAAACTTTCTGCTGAAAACCATCAGCATTTTCTAGAACATGAATTCTATAAATCGTAAAAGTTTCTGTGAATAAGATCTCCATTCAGAAAATTAATATTCATCAATTTTCACAATAATCTGCATATAGAAATGATATCTTTAAATCGGAAAACTTTATACTTTATTTTAAATTATGTACAAATACAAACATTTCTCCAATTTGCATTTGGGTCCCTAATAAGATTCCTTATTTTAACATCAAGTCTTCTTTCGGTCAACTTTTACCGACCGTACAAGTCAAACTTTTGTTTTTCCATAACGAGTACAAACATTTCCTAAATATAAGCATATGGGTCGAAAGAATGCATAAAGTGTTATGTATTTAACACAATTTTCTCAATTTAAAAGCACAAAAACATTAATCTCATTTAAAATACATTTGAAACTAGAAGCGTACGTCTACGACTAACCGGTGCAAAAGTAAAAAAACCAGGTAAGGTCTTTTGCGGACACTATGCGTACTACGCTTAGGAAATTATCTGCTGAACGGTTCTTATGTTTGCAGCAAAAAATCTTGTCAATATTCCTCCCATTTTGAGCTATTAGCTTTATGCTAACTGGTAGAATTTTTATCTATCATTAAATTCCAAGTTTAGTTCTCAGTCCTTAAAAATTCTGATGTGTGCACCACATGACTTCCTTGTATAGAATATTAAATTATACGCATAATTTTCTTGCATTTCATTTAAACTTATTGGATTGAATTAAATATTCGTCGATAGCGCATAAACCGCAATAGAATAAATGCACTCTTTACAATTCAGTACATTTGTTTAACATAGCGACTTCTGGCCCTAGGTTCATTTAAGAGCGCTACATTTCAATCTTTTTAACTCATAAGGCACAACATTTATATCTTAAGAATTATCTAATCGTTGCCACATGTTCTATTCAAAACTATAATAAATCTAAACGATGTATAAAAGAAATTAAGCAAAGAACAACAAAAACAAACAGAAAGAAAGTTTTTCACAGACGATTCAGTATTTGTCAGTAAATTAATTCATTTCTAACTTCGCGACAAGGCTAAAATACATAAAAACTCACAATGTCTGTATGGAAAATTATGAAATAAATCTTAGCCACTTATTTTCTCGAATAAATTCCAGAATGGATTGAGCATAATTTAATTCGCAATAAAAGAAGTCGTTATCTCCGTTATTGCGAAGCTTACTTTCTCTAGATTGGTAACAAATCTATTCTGTTTCAAATGTAAACAAGCAATGGCCGACATGACAAAAATTAGGCTTAGCGAACTTAAACAACTTTTGAATTTATAACAATTCTAAAAATATTGGATACAGATTTACTAAAGGCATAAAACCCTTAACCGGAAGATAAGAACAGCATAATTCAATCATTTTTAAAACAAAAAATGCACAATTTACAAACTTAAGAATAAAGAAACAGATCACTGAGCCGAGTAACAGTGGATATATATATACATATATTTATATAAGTTTGGTGCCGCCTATTGAAGCCAAAATAAGAGGTGCACATCTAAATGTTATAGCAGTCCTATATACAAAATTTCAACGTTCTGAGGCTACTCGTTTGAGTTACACGTACGTACAGACGCCACGAAAAATTCTCTTTAGAATTAATTTTAAATTAGTTTTACAATTTTTTTAGGAGAAAATGTTCTTTATTCTGTCCTTACGAACAGATTTCAAGCAAAAACATCGCTAAATTGCATTTTTGCACCAGTAACATGATCATAATCCATATTAACACTTGTTATTCTTTATTTGAAAATTACCCACTTAGATTATTTAGAGTCCAAATCGACAAGTCTACTTCTCAAACTAATTACTAGAACCAAGAAAACTATTCCGAATGCACTTTCTTCGCTTTAATAGTAAGCACTCAATAATGAGCTCCAGATGCGCTGAATATAATTAAGGAAGTAAATGCAAGTTACATAAACAATGGATTTCAAACCTAGTAAGCTAAACTTACCACAGAGAAACTCTGAAGCTAAATATTCGTAAAAATATACCAACATTTTACGTCATAATGCGGTTCAACAAAATTTTCCAAAAATATTTTACATCAAAAGATTCATATGAAAATATTATCAAGACAGTTATTTCAAGAAAGAAGAAATTCGAAGAAAATTATTTCATTTGCTCATTTACAATATAGATAACATTTTTTCAGTGTTCACTGCACAAGGGATTTGAGCATATAATGCAGCATGTTGTGGTCATTCGCTGCATAGGGATAAGTTCAGAATGCAAAAGTGTCCCCTTGACTTTTCTTATAATTAATGTCTTCGATCATTCACATTAAGAATTCCATATATATCGCAGAGAGTAGCTCAAACTTGGAAACATAAAAGGCTTCACTGATCAAGCTGTGATCATTTCAGCACTTATATCTGTCGTTAATTCTCGCCAGGATTGAATTCTTTCTTTTATAAAAAGCGTTGTGTAAATAAGTAACATGAATTTATTAAAGCTGTATTGGAAATTCCATAAAAATTGCAAAGAGGCCATTCGACTACAAGACATTTGGTTGCACGTTCGCTCAAAAGAGTCCACTCTTCCTTTCGTAGAATTATAAAACTACAATAACAGACTTGTTGCTTTCTGCATTTATGAATTTATCATTTGACGTTGAAAGAATAAAATTTACATAGTTTTAGCTTGTAAGAGGGAAAATCTATTGTTATCAAAGCAGAGCAATGATGTGCCTATTTTTTTAATCTTTTACACCAAGACATTCATCTGTAGTTTCTCATCTGTTTTTCCGTAAAGTACCAACCATGGTAAGTTTAAGAAGGTAGTTTAGAAACTCGGTAGTCACTAAAAGACAAATAAACCAATTACCCATGACTATATTATGATTTGATCTATGTATAGACTTAAAGCTTTCAGCTCATGGACGATTTTTAATATTTGTAGACTTCCCAATAAATAATGTTCTATCAAATATTTGGCAAATAAGCGTGTTATGAAAATATCACACGAATTTCAAAATTATAACTTACGTAGAAGCTAGTTTCGTAAAATTTACAAACACTTCTCGTGCTGTAATCGAATATAAGCAAATAAGGCAAGTACCGCAGAATGCGTGCCTTTCCAGGTCAAATAAGATTACGGATCATTTATTCAAGAGATGCAAGTTTTCTATGGTTAATTTTGTTTCTCGAAAAACTAGCTACATAATTATATTGCCTTGCATACTAAATGAGTAAAATGCCATGAATGTTAAAATATTTTCTAGTACTTAAGCTTTGTTTACAGCAAAAGGCAAAAACTTGGCAGATCAACTTACCTTCCCTTCATATAAAATCACAGGGACTGGAAATCTTGATCTGCGCCTGGCTCTAATTGAATCATTAAGGAGTTCAAGGTGATCATCAACAAAGCTGTCGTTATATCAAACAAATTTGTTTAGTAGACAGTTCCCCCAACTAAAAAAACAGTTTCAATATTTGAAATACTTTTCAAAACAACTCAAAAGGTCTTATTTGATATTCTTATTTACCTCCAAGAAAACTTGTAGTTACGCTGTTTTGGTATATTATTGGCAAGATTTCATTGCTAAAGTTAGTGATTGTTAAAGTTCTGGATTAGATTATCGTAAAACGTGCAATTTTCCTCAGATGAGCCACATTTTCGCAGGGGACCGAGAAAAATTCTCATATTTGTTATGAAAACTGAATTCTAGTTTGTAAATGTTATCAGTTATAACTAATAACATGCAAGGAGAAAGTAATTACAAGCAATAAATTATATTAAAAGTATTAAATTAGCACCGCAATCCTCTATTTTAAAGGGTTCAGGAATATGAAGAATGGAAGGCCAAGATTATGAAAATTATATTTTAATCAAAAATAAAACAAGAAAAGGTTAAAATACTGTAAAATATAAATTGTTAATCATTACAATTCCATATGATCAGTTATGACCTCAATGGACTCTTTCTAAAACACTTCAGGAACAGCAACTGAAATTCAATAATATCGAAAAAGAGATGCGCTAGTTAACAGTTGAATTTAATTTTCCTAATGGAGTAACTTTCACATATGTGGAACCATATACATTTCCACGCAGGGCTAATAAATTACTTTAACGAGCCAAAAACGTTAAAAAAGCTAAAATCTCTCCAAACATTCACTTTTAAATATTAAATTAATTATTACTTGACGTTTTCGAAGATTCTTCGACGCCATTTTTTTAATACAATCCGCTTGCTCTGATTTTTTCAAAAGTATTCGCATGTGCTGACATCCATGTATAAAATAAAAGCTGAAACAACCCCGTACGTGCTAATCAGGTTGCAACTGAATAAAAATATACTCGAACCTTTTCCAGCAATCGAAGGTCCACATATGTGGGCATCTGAAGTCAAGAGTGTATAGGATATTCCGACTGGAAGTGGCTAGTCTCCACCTTATCCATGGAAAACATCACGAAAACTAATGTCAGCCTGTTCGAAGCGATTTGAGCACGGATTGGAATACCAGTATTCAGCAGTTTTCTTAGCTGCAGTGAGTTCCCTGAATCTATTCAGAAAGAGCACAGTTTGAGATGTTATTCAATCGGTCACTACCGATAGGGAAACATTAAGGAATTACATCTGCACCCCTGCTTAAGCATTAAAGCGGCATGAATTGTAGCAGTTTTTAAAGTTACGTTTAGTATATACATTTCTTAAGCATTTGTACCGTAAAGGTGACGATGCTTTTAAATCTGAATATATTAGTACCTTAATTCATTCTTTAAATACCTAACTTTAACTAACTTTAATTCTTTAAATTCATTCTTTAAATACCTAACTTAAAGCGAACAATCTATAGCATATAAATGCTGTTAAACCCAGAGTATAATAAACTTTGGCAAATAATTTTAGACTATTGCAGAATTATGTCATTTGAGGATCATTAAAAATCTATGCATTAAGAATTTTTATGGACAAAGTAATAATTTATACTATTCTTTATAAAATCAAAGTTTCACGAATTCATAAAACTAGAATTACGCTACAAATAGTTAAAAAATTGATTGTTCATTTGTAAACAGAAAGCGCATGAAAATAAACAAAATAATTACCTATATGAAGGCTCGTAAAAGGGAATGAGGACGTCTTCCGGATAATGAGGACAGTATGTTTTGAATTCATTTACTAGAATCTGTCATTAAAATTTCAGATTTCAGGAAATATTTAAAAAAAGAAACGCATTTAAAATCAGTTGAAAATGACAAAATCATTTAATTTAACGTCACTTGGTTATTACCTGGTTATCGCCAATACACAGTGAACATATAACGATTTTTGTGTACATATCTACATTAGCATTACGATAGAAATAACTTTTCTTTAAGCCAAAAATTATTTGGCAGGAGCACCAAACATATTCTGCAGTTTGCTTACATGAACTTTGGTTTGGTTTATTTGATTACCGCAAAGCACACGAGGCTATCTGCCCCATAGCAGAGATGGAAGACTTTAAAGGAAACTGGCTTGTATACACGCTATATTAATTCCCGCTGTAAAACATAATATGCAACCAAAGCACACGTTATACACGGAGAAAACCACGAAAAGCCCATGCAGCTAGCCCGTTCTCGGGGTTCGAACCTCGGATCGAACTACCAGTGTTCAGCGATTTTACCGCTCGTTCACTGGTGGTCCAAGAGCTTTGTCAAAGTAGATGGAAAATTATGTTCTTGAACCAGTTCGCACTTCTCATATTTACTATTTTTCAAGAAAGTTCTAGACAAATCTAAATGCAAAATGCTGTCAGAGTTAAGAAGAAACCCAATGCAAAAGAACGACTTCTAAGGTTCCCTCAATTTCGCAAGAAAGAACAGCCATGGGTGTAACTAAGTGTTTTACATGCGAGTACCGGCTAATACCCAAGTTACAAAAAAATCAAAATTAAAAATAATTGTGTAAATTACAGAACACCTTAAGAATTACTCACACCACATACGTAGTCTTTCGAAATTAGTACAAAACATATCCTGTTGATGGCCTCGTCTTCCTGCAAAAGTGAAGAAAATTTAACAAAGCATGTTAGATATAACATACAAATAATTAAAATTTCAAAAGTCCCCGACATTTACTGTATTTAGCTGCATTTATTTTGCAAATGAATCTTTTTTGTACCTAATGTTAAATCATTAAACACATCAAAGAAGGTAATAAAGTCTCTAACTGCAGTTCGATAGTTTAAAATTTAAACCAAGAACTAGTTGCACTCTTTTTAAATATTGCGTACCTGTTTTGAAAATTGCACCAAAACAGTTTAAATTTATATAAATGCTTTACTTATCCGTATGATTTGATACAAATTACCAGATGAAAATCTAAGTTGTTCAGTTTAAATCCATCGGTTTGGTTTAATTGATTATGGAAAAGCACACTAAGGCTATATGCTTAAGGCAAGGGTTGCCTTCGGTAAGGACTTCTTAAGGGAAACTGGCTATTAATCCCATAGGAATGTGGCTCGGGCTTAAATTGAACTGCAGAATGACTTAGGTTTTATCAAATATTTAGTGAAGGAGAAAACATACGGAAGAGAACGTAAGAAGTTTAATTTTAAGAGGAAAGGAACAACATTTAAATTTTAGCAAAACAAAGAAATTTAAAGCAATTAGTATGAAGTTAAATTCAACAGTTCATTCTTGATTTATTTAAAACGTACTCCGATAACATGAATAGAGACCTGCGAACATATTACGGAAGAATTATACAGTACCTTCTGAGTTTTACATCTCGTAGAGCGAAGGAACGCTGCTCTCTTGATAATTTTCTTCAGTAATTCTTTGGTTACTACTCCTTCCACCCTTGCCCGTTTAGCTCTTGGTGCCATCTCCTAATAATTAACGGCTTTATACTTTAACCGCGGCAGCAGCTACCTTTAAAATGCGCGTGTCTAAAATTCTCAATCGACTATTTATAACTTTCATTTTCAGATCTAGGATAAGAATGACCAATAAGGCTCAACATGCAAATTTTTGTGCTTCTTCTTTCTGTAGCAGTATCCACCAGGGGGATGCGTAGTGCAGGGAGAAAATTATGACACATGCGGATGACGTCATGTGGGTGACAGCATGGACCTTTTCTTATAAGGTCCATGGGTGACAGTTCTTGGCGTTCGTTTACATTCGTTGCATCAACAGTTTGATTTGATTTGTGTGTTGTTAATTTGCTATTATACCTAGTCGGAAGTGGCAAATTGTGCTATAGCGTTGTGTCAGAATTACACACGCCACACGTTTTTGGCGGAAAAACACTCTTTACTTTAAACCAGATAAAATGACTGACTATTTTTTTAATGAATTTATGTAGTTTTCATACATAACTGTGATGTAATTTTAATTTATTTTTCATTTTACAGCTATTTTACATTTAAAATTGAAAAATTTCTCATTTTAAATCATTTTTATCATAATCTTCATTTTGTGAATGAGACTTGCATCATAGTGAGATAATTAAACTCAGTGTCATGTTTACCAATACTGAGTAGCTGAATGATTAGTTGATAAATTCGCGTATCCAACTTCATTCACATGTTTTCGTTACTTTCTTTACATCCCAAATGTAATTCTATGTATTGAAGCAATGTCTGGGTTAAGCATTGCGAACTAAGTAAACTGATACATGTTTCACCGTGAGGAAAGAACAATTTCTCGACTGCACTATGATGCAAACACCGAATGAATGAGTGGGATATTTCCTTCAGTATTATTTAACTGATGCATATGTCTGATGTAATTTAATTGATGTAACTAAGTGAACTTACACATGCTTGACCTTGAAGGAAAACAAATCTGTGTATTGTGCTGGCATACAAATAGCGGAAGATTACTAAGATATTCTCTTCAGTGTTATTTAACTGCTGCATATGTTTTAATTTTGATTCCATAAAATTTTTTTTTAATTATAAGAGAAAGAAAAATAATTAACTGCTCCAGTGCTGCTCTGCCGTTCCCATTAGCAGCACCATACATGAGACGCATGTCAGCTTTTTCCCTGTGCGTAAACTCACCCATCTCGCTCGACATCAGCGCTGCGGATGATACTCTGATGCATCCGATTGTGGTTTGTCAGGCTTACTACCACTCTCTACCGCTGCCTTGCCAGGCAATCACAGCTGTAGTTCCTATTACTGTTAATTTTCCCTTTTCGAACATTTATTGTGAATATTGTATTGCTGCAAAGAAGCACTTTGCGTTGATTTTGTATATAAACACATTTTCCTCTCGTGTCTTTTTTTTTTTTTTTTTTGCGTTCCTGATTTAAACCCTAAACTCGTCACTTTAGACCCTACATTCCTATACAAGAAATGTATGTTTTAGTACGCTGCACCACCATCCCTCCAAGTTTGTTCCATGATCTGTGAAACACCCTGTATATTATTATAACGAAATTTTGTTAAGCTAAATAGGTGTCAAGAAAATTATGTATGATTCGGGAATTCTTACTAGCAGTTTAGCAGAGAAAAGTGAATTTTTTATAAATACTAAAGTGTTAGTAAAATAATTGGTACATACTGTGGTGTACAGTACATAATTGGTACATAAAAGGTGGCTGCATCAACGCAGCCACCTTTTCGCAGTTCCAACAGTTTCAACATTTTTATCTCCAACGCGTGAGACTGTGTATCGGAATTTCTAAAGATATGGTCTTTTTAGATTATCTTGTGATACTGCTGTTGAATTGAATTGTATGGTTTAAGTGCGAAGAACATAAATTTTTAATAAATTCATGTTTAATAAATAAAAGTAACAAAGAAAACGTTCAAGTAAACCAAAACTTTAAACTATATTAAGCCATTTCAGCTTAATATAAAAATCTGAAAGATTTTTTTATTTTAATTATTTAATTTTTTTTTTGGAGGAGGGTCTTGCAGAAATTTTATGGCGATCGCATTTAATAACAGATTCAAAACAACCGATTAACAAGAGAAATAACCTTTACCAATTTTCGCAAAATATTGTTCCTGCAGAAATCTTAAAGTGGGTTTTTTCATTCCTAACAAATGCTTTTAGAGATTTTAAAACAGTGTAAGATAAAAAAATATTGTGTTCGCAAAATACTGTGTTCCTGCAGAAATTTTAAAGTGGGTTTTTTCATTCCTAACAAATGCTTTTAGAGATTTTAAAACAGTGTAAGATAAAAAAAATATTGTGTTCGCAAAATATTGTGTTCCTGCAGAAATTTTAAAGTGGGTTTTTTCATTCCTAACAAATGCTTTTAAAGATTTTAAAACAGTGTAAGATAAAAAATATCACGATTAGTCTACAAATTTTAACTCGGAATACAACAAAAAGAACTTAAATGCTAAAATAGGTTTAATTGAAGAATTATTATGAGTATAATTATTTCGCTTAACAGCTGTTAGGTGCATGGTTCCAAAGTGTGTCGTATTCTTAAAATTTCGCGATTTTCTTTTAAAGTGGTTGTAATAATACGTAAGTACAAAATAATTAAGTACGTCACATTATTTAAAACTTTTTTTCAAATACTTTTTAATCAATTTTTCAGTGTGTTCAAATACTTAAAAAAATATTAATATCAAAGATTTGAAAATTTATAAAAGAAGCAAGTTTCTAGTGTTCCCTGAAGCAGCAGAAAATATTCTCTCTCTCTCTTAATCTCTCTCTCTCTCTGTATATATATATATATATATATACTCTATAACAAAAAAACATGGAAATAAAAACTGGTGGATAGGAAGACTATGTACAGAATAGATGATTAAAATTCCAGAACAATTGAAATGATTTATTTCAGAGTTACATAGTTACAAATCAACGAGCTCAATAATGTGTTGACCTACCTCTAGCCTTGATTCAAGCTGCCACACGACGTGGCATAGACTACAAAATCTCCCAGATTGTCTCCTGTGGGATCCCTCTTTCTTGATCCCTCCCGGATCCCTTCTTCTTGCAAAATTTTCTCCTATTGTCCGGCTAGGTCATCAACATTTCCTCGTAGATGCAGTCGCCTTCCCATCATATCCCAGACATGCTCGATGATAGAGAGATCTTGCCATCTGGATTGCCAAGGAAGTGTTTGACAAGCTGTAAGACAGTTTGTAGCAACACGTGCAGTATGAGGTCTGACATTATCTTGCTGAAAAATAAGGCTAGGGTACTGCAAAAGGAATGGTAGGAAAACAAATCATAGTATGTCTTCGACGTACCGCTGTGCTGTAAGTGTGTCTCTACTGACGACTAAAGGACTTGTATGGGTATACTATCAAGGGAAATGGCACCCCAGACCATAACTCCTTGTTGAGGGCCTATGTGGCATGATCGGAACGCTGCTCTGGGCGTTTACAGACACGTTTTCGATGATCGCCAATTTGCTAAGCCAGATAAATGTGACTGTGAGAAAAACAAAGCGATTAAATTCAGCTTTCTTTACAGTAAAGAGTGTAATTAAAATTAATGAGTGTTCATTCTGTTTCTGGAAACTGCTCCTCAAGCGATAATTGTTAACGCAATAAACTCTCGAATAAAAAAATTACCGATAAAATAAAAAACACAGTTATACTGATTGAAGCAATTTAGGAATCACAAGCAAAGAAATTCGTTTCCATTGCTCTTTCAAACTTCATACAGAACAAAGATAAGCAAGAAAGTAAATCAATTTTCTCGAGAAGAAATTTGCCTTCTATTACAACTTCACTCTCTGCCTGAAGATCGTATGTATTCGAGGAGGACTTGAGAAACCGGCTGCTATTTATGTTATACATCAGAAAAACGACTAAGATACCTACAGTGACCCAAGAAAGTCTTGGGGTATAAGTTTCAAATATTCTAAGGTAAAAATTCAGCTATTATTTAAAATTCAAATTTTTATTTTTTTCTGTACCTAAATACTACGTGAAATCTACTATGATGAACAAATTACAGTATTAAATAAATGAAATATATTAAGTACCATTAATTTTACATACGAAACTAAGGTAAAAAATTATTGGGACATTGAAGTAACAAATATAATGAGACAATCCTAGCAGAGTTTTCTTATAAAAGGCCTAGAAGGCTTTTTAACTAGGAACAGATAAAGTTGAGGAGCTATTTTGTTAACATGAGTTAAAAAACGAATTTCTTTTGTTGCCATTGAGGAAAATTAGGAGAAAAGTAAGTGAACTGTTGAATGTAAGCATACGAAATTTTCAAAATATAATTTGGAAATATCGTCAAAAATAAATTGTTAAGAAGCCCAAAGTTTGCGATGATGGGGAAGAACGTGAATCATTCAATATATGTATAATCTTAAATCCAGTGCAGCCAAATTGATATTGAAGCCAAATAATTATTCAGAAAATCCTTTAGTGAAGAAACTAATGAGCGCCGCCTGAGATAACCACTGACGTGACATTGTTGTAAAAGTCTTACAGTGTTAATAGTCGTCCTGGCACAAGAGAATATTTCTTCCGTGTAAAAATATAAATATAAATATTACATGGGCATACAAGGCCAGTGTGTAAGCATAGATATGTTAATTACAAACATTGTTTTGTACAAGTTACGTGTGATAGTTATATAAAATCATGACAGTTATGTGTAAATTTAAACATTGTATGATTCACATTTACAATACTTTTACCGAGGCAATCAAAGTAAACTTGTAATTCATTTACACATTGACTGGATTTTCAATGTCATTTTAAAGTGCTTTACAATATTATTTTATATACAAACTGGATAGTAATATGCTTACATTACAATAGTTTTGCTCTTACAGTCCTGTTACTATTCTACGGGGTGAGCTATTTTTCTAGTGTTGATTTTCAGTTGTAGTATTTTGAATTGCTATTAAAAATATGCTGCGAAAGTACAATTCTCAAGGGAGGGGCAGAATTTCTTAGTACCTTGCTGAGCATAGCCTGATCATCTCCTC